CTCAGCACCTAGGGATATTTTGTTAAATTAGCTTGCGGAAACTCGAAGTGAGTGTTGGATTGTTAAATGGCTGCATTCTTAGTTCTCAGTAAGAAAGCAGTACACTGTATGTCAAGGGAAGTCGTCCACCTCATTGTTTATTGTTGTTTTCATATTGGTGCAAGAATAAAGGATTTTCAAGTCACCAATCTGTGTTCTGCTTTTCGCGTTGGTTATTGCACATTGTTGCTGAAGGTCCTCTAAGGACAGCGTTAAGTCCAGTGTACTTAGACCTGGACATTAACAAATGCTGTCCCGTTTTCCACTCCCTTTGTCGTTTCCCTGAATCTATTAGACGTAAGAACAGGTTGCATAAAACCTGCAGGAAGCTTCAGCGCACTTTTTCAGAACAGATAACTGGGACTCGTCAAGGCCAGGGAATTACCGAACACGAGTCTCTGTATCGTCCGTAGTACCACCGTCGGTTTTATTTGGAGATTACTCAGAGGGTTTTCTTTCGGCAAAACATCAGTGCCGCCTTTTTCGCCTATATGGGTGATTCCCATATTGCTGCACTACTTTTTGGCCCAGGCTGAACCGAGTGTTTCTGGCTGGTAGCTCTATTCTCCGTCATGAACTAGTACGGTCCTTTTGGGGTTCGCCGTGTGTTTTCCGGCAGGTTTCGCCCAAAGTGACCTACTGTCACTCCTGAATCTTGTGGTGCACCAGTTGTTGAGTTCCAGGTATACATTTTGGTCGGGCTGACTCTTGGATATTCACCAAGTATACCAAACCTTCCGTTTTGCTTGAAGAGCGCTTTGCGTACTTCTCTTCATCCATGTGGATCTCCTGATCGATTGTTGTATGATTACTTGGATCGCTATATAAATAATCTCTCCTATCCGTCCTCATTGCTCGCCGGCTATTAACTCAGCATCATGTAAAAGCGGTTTCGCGTCAAAAAAGCCTTCGCTTTCCGGCGTGGTCAGCTTGGCTGTAATACAAACGTGGTCACCTAGCTTCCCACCGTAAGTGCTCATAAAGAACAACATAAAACCCTGTGACTAAGTAGTCATTAGTCCCTACGGGGTCATGATTTGGACATTTTCGAAAAGTAGCTGACCGCTAGTTAGAATATAATCTAGTTTCGATGACTTTCCACTGGTGCCTCACCTAGCGTCGTCTCCAGCGCTCTCTGTCAGCTCTGTATTTCTATTAGTTCGTAGCATTTTATGAAAGAATTTTCCCTGAACACACCTCGAGCAAAGGTTCAACGATGGGTCATTGAAGTCTCCAGTTACGGTGACTGGGCCATAGCCGAACTCTCGTATCCCTGTGATGGTGCTGAGATTTAGCTGGTTGTGCTCTGCCCCACAGGCAGGTAATCGATATATGCCATCCTGCAAATACTTGGTGAGACCCATGGTGAAATGACACCATATGGAGTCTGGCAGTTCAATAAGCGGTAGGTCCATTGCATGTGCGCATTTGAATTCCTTACCAAGGTGTATGGCATCGTTTCAACTACGGGCGGAACTGACGAGGATATCAAAGCCAGAATCGGAAAAGCAAGACAAGCTTTCATTACTCTCAAATTTATATGGAGGTCAACAGTACTCAGCATCAAAAATAACATCCGGATTTTCGACTCCAGTATGAAATCAGTCAGTGCTACTTACTATACGGATCAGAGACTTGGCGAGTCATAAAGAGCATCTCAAACAAACTTCAGACCTTCACCAACGGCTGTCTTCGCTCAATTCTCAAGATCAGATGGCCGGCCAGAAAAGATCAGCAACAGGGATCTCTGGTAATGAGCGAACCAACCAGGAACTGATTGTGAAACAAATAGGCAGGAAGAAATGGAGGCGGATTGGCCACACTTTGAGGAAACCATCGAGTGACATCGCTAGACAAGCCCTCGAGTTGAACCCGAAAGGGAGGCGGCGAGTTGGTCGTCCAAGGGTGAATTGGAGGAGGTCATGCGAGGGGGAGATGGAAGTATGTGGACAGACCTGGAGCGGGGTGAAAAAGTTGTCAGAAAACAGAAGGCAATGGAGGTGCGTAGCTGAAGCTCTATGTTCCTCTAGGAACTAAAAGTACAATAATAATAATGTGTACGGCATCCTTTCCCTTCTTTGTTATCCTTGTTTCTCCTGACTATAACGATATAACTTATACTGATTTCGTTGTTGGCAATAGCGGGGGCTAGCCAGGTTTCAGTGAGGATTATTATTTTAAGGTGTAAGTGTGACTGGAGGTTTCTGGGTTCACCCAATTTTTCTATCGGCCCCCTCACATTGCTGTACATGTAGCTGACAGTGAGTCTCAACACCTCAGTGTTGTAAACTACTGAACATAATTATAGTTTATTCGATCTATTCCGCAACGCCCAAACTTTTTACCGGCATTATTTATTTCATAATATGTCTGGGCCACTTTTGGATCTTTCATGATCTATAGGGTAGTGAATCTAATCACTCATCTTCCATAACTTCAGTGAGTGCTAGTGTTTAGTCAGTTGCTTGTAATTCTGGATATTTCTCGAAAGATTGGGATATTCACTTACGAATGTCAGGCCAAGATCTCCAGCATGTCCTGCATAACTTTATGGATAGCCGAATTATCAGAACAACTGATTCTCCATATGCATAGTTTTGATGATCTGAACTTCGCCTGTTCGGTACCCGATACTCTCGGCAGTTTTCCCCTGATATTGTCATCCGACTTTGATATTATCTGAGCAACACCACTGGACTAAAGTTATTGCTGTCCTGAACTTTTTCCCAACAGCAATTAGGTGAAGGACACAACTCCACTGTTCAGATAGCTGCTACCTAACTCTCGAGTGGTGAAACGAAGTCACGAGTGAGATGCGTGAGACCTAGGTCCAGTGTCGGATGATTAAACTTCTTATATCACCACACACTGAGGATCTTTCGTAGGAGAGCTTTTGTTAGCTTCTATGCAACCAAACATTATGGAATCCGGAGTGTCACAATGTATGCTAGGAAGAACTGCTATACGTCCTTTGACTCCCATCTATTCTGACATCTTTCAAAAGTGACGACGATTTTTCCGGTATTGCCTCAACTGTTTAGAAGTTCATGAATGAGACTTATTATAGCCAACTTTTCATGACAACAGCATTTTCAATGGGTGAGGAACATTTTCTAAGAGTTACTTTGTGATTTCTAAGTAAATTTGGGTCTGAAATGACCTCTCGGTTTCTCAACTCCCTATGATGCTTTGAACTTTGTAGTCAGAATTACAAGTACTGCAGAAAGTCATCAAACCCGAATGATGATCAGAAGCATCTGGCTCAGAGCAAGATGGCACAATCTAGAAAACTTTCTTGCTTACATGGACCTCATGGACGGTACATCTGCTGGAGTCCTGAAACTGATCACTTTAACCGGTTAAACTGAAGAGTACCCGGAAGAAGCGGAAGCAGTGGCAGACAAGTTTCCCAGAGTCACTGCACGTTTATCATCGCTCCCACACCATCATCTCTGGTCGCATTAGAGGAAAATTGGAGAAACTATGACAGTGTTAATCAAAACATTTTCCCTAATCCTTATATAAACCAGACTCAGGGAAATCGCTGGGAGCTAAGGGACCAGAAATGTAGCAACTCAGGTAGCGGGCTCGTTGAATGTGATCTCCAGGCCATCTTACTCAAACGAGGTTTAGCCGACCGTTTGGAAAACGCTCTTCTGACACTCATCTAATAGGGATCTTCAGGGTGCTCTTCAGGCTACAGGCCCAAAGGTCTCACCAGCATATTGGTAAAGAAACATAAAGAATAATAAAGAAGCCTACCATGGCATATTTGGAAAGCAACAGCTCATTATCCAGATCGTGGCACTATATTTAGGGAAAACTTTCAAGCCTGAAAAACCTCCCCGCATCAAGAAAAAGTTTTCAGAATTACAGACGTCTTGCTAAGCTGAATTACGGGATTCGTCTTAAGTAGGGCACAAAGAGTCAGCACAGAATCAAAACTATATACTGGGAAAAGTTACGTGATTAGATGTCACATGGCATCATGCTAGGTCCCCTCTTACTTATACTCTATATCAATGAATTAACTTGGCTCAAAGAGTCTCCAATGGTTCTCTACGCAGATGACTGAAAAATCTGGCAGGGAATGAGGGTAATGACGACATTCTGATGCTGCAAATTGTTCTCAAAAAGCTTTTAGATTGGTTTAAAGAGTAGACACTTGCAATCGGCACTTTGCTCGCACGTATAATCTTATATGACTGTAAGAATATATGCCCATTACATCTGACGCACACGTATCCAGTTATCACATCAAACCATGAACTAAAAACTATGGCAAAAGGACTCGTGGGCAGTGCAGCTCGAAGTTTGGAATCTGTGTGTTTAAGGCGGGCTCAGATATTCCAGAAAAGGTTCAAAGGAAAGGCACACGTGCGACCCCTGGTGTGTCCGATTTTTTGCTGGAGGAAAGACTCAACAATACAAAACCCTTCTCATCCCATCATATGCGGGAGATCTCACTACAGTGTTCAGGATTCAACGAAATAACTATGGAACTTATCTACCTCCCCTCCACCGTTCTATTAGGTTGGAACATGTCAAAGCACAAGGCAGGATAGTCTGGAAGATAAGGATGGACTATGTCGCTGCGGAGTACGGGTTCTCCCACCAAGTCTTAAGCCCTTGAAATCAATTTCCAGAAGTGCCCTTAGTCTATCCGTTCAAAAGCAGATGAGACAATCGCGGATACTTGCTGAGAAGGGGTTATAACAAGTTTGAGGCTTTCTGTCCTCAAACAGAAATGTGTATCTTAATCTGATTTCCGACTCCGAAAGCAACTTCGAAGCACATGTGCGTCGTCAACCGATAATTTCAGAAACAATAAATACAAGAAAATAACGTGAATTTCTTCGTATGTCGAAGATGTCTAGTAAAATAAACACAAAAGCGCACTGATAGTAAAAAGCTAAGAGTGATCCTGATGTCAAATTGCCTATATTGTTTGACATTACTAAGTGTTCGTGACCTATATTGACCTTGTCTGGCGGGTGAAGTTAAATTAAGTCCACGTCCGGATGTTAGGGTATAGCAATTCGTCAGATTTTCAAAGTAATTTATAATCTAAATACCTCATATTCCCAAGAAATTGGCCTAGGTCTTCTTGCATTTGGGGTTGGTTTCCTTTGTCTCGGAGTACTATTCTTTTTCGATGCCGCACTATTGGCATTAGGTAATGTAAGTGCTCAGCATACGTCTATATTACTTCCTTCAGGTTCTTTTCCTTGCTGGCATAGGGTGTCTTATTGGGTTACAGAAAGCATGCACATTTTTCTTCCGTCGGACAAGTTTGAAAGGAGCTGCTTTTTTCTTCGGGGGAATAGCTGTCGTCCTGTTCGGCTTTCCCTTCATCGGAATGTTACTAGAAATTTATGGCATGATTAATCTGTTTAGGTAAGTCATGAATGTTTCTTGCTGTTAAATGGTTTAGCAGGCCTACGAATATTCTAATTTGATTTGGGTAAACTAGATAGGTGTCAGCGATGTCATACTTAGTTTCATTAAAATAGGAATAGTATTCAGGCACTAGGGTAAATTACAAATTCATCTGGTAAAACACGGTAACACAGTGCTATTTACTTATAAAATCCAGAGTGCCGTTTATTGTCCCTAGTCCTATGAACAATTTGTTTAACATTTCTGTCCCTCGTAAGGTTCCTATGTACCAAACTATTCATTCAGTCTTGGGGAGGCGCCCTGCATACACTGTAAGCCATATTGTTCTCGTTGGTCCAATTTAGACTCACTGATGACCAGTCTTGCGAAGACCTTTCCCCACTCCTCGCCTCTTGTTAGTCAATGGCTTTCCTTAAGCCGGATTCAAATAATAAGGATATTAGGTTCTTGTTGCCTATGTTAATACTTGCAATATATATCTTCCGAACTCTAATTTCTCCTTAAAAGCGTTCATCGATGGAGCTGTCACTACTGAATCAGGAAAGGAGTTCCATTCGTCGACCATTCTGTGAGAGAATTTAAATTCTACACGTATTTTGTTCGTCCTCGGTTTGAGCACATTTTTGTGGTGACCTCGTAAATGTATTGTAGAGGGAAAAATATTAAAAAGGCCAATCCCCCAGTTGTTCATAATAAGGAATAAATTGTGTTCAAATCTTCATCAGTAAATATTACTGCATAATAGTGACTTTATCAAGATAAATTCTATGCATAATGCACTTATACTCTTCCACAATGCCCAAGTTTTATCTTTATATCAACTCGTTCGTATAACACACTGAAACACCTGTGTGTCTATTCGACTTGTGGAGGGAGGTCTGGGCAACATAGGTTTCCGAGACGTCACTACCCGAAAACCCAACAGTTCTTTTTCCCCTTTTTCTGGTTAAGCCTTTAATTGCGCCACGGCTTCTTTTTATTCCAGCTTCCAAATACCAACCAACCCTTATTCTCAACTTTTTATCCTTGTTCGCAAATTTGTTGAGAATAATGCCTTTTTCCACCAGTACTATTTTCAATATTCGTTAGGAACTTTCCGTGGCGTCGGTATTTCGTTTACCAATTCCAATGACCTTTATATGGACTCCATTTGCTTTTTGGAAAGTACTTCACGAAAAATGGAGCTAGCTGTCTTGAGATCTTCAACTTGTCGGGCAGTTGGATCTACTTTCTTTGAGTCCTCCAAGTTCCAAATAATGATAGTGTAATTTAAGTCCGGAGGTTTCAAAATCGTGTTAGTTGGCCGTCTCTAATAGCACTTTCATCTGTGGACAATTTCCCTTATTAGGGCAAAACCAAAAAGTTAGTCGTTCCAATTAAATTCATTATTATTAACCAAAATAAGCATGCAAAAGCTAATAGTTCATTATCAAATTTGATAGCATTCAAAAGCAAGTGGGTGTTCGTTGAAAGATAGTCCAGTTAGGATATTTTGTCGTCTGAGCATCAGGGTGTTCCACCTTTGATGCTTCCGAAAAATTCATTTCTCATGCTGATATTTAAAGGGTATCAGTTAAACACCTTTTAAGATATTGAGTGTTGGATTAGGGTAGGCGTTTGGCACCCAAAAAACAAAGCGTCGCTCGTATTCTGTGGCTGGTACCCTGGTGATCATTTAGGGCAGTTGTTGCATGCTGGAGACCAGTAATTCCGAAAGAAAGCTTCGAGGATAGGCAACACCAGGCAACTCTTTAGACTCATCAAGGAAACGGGTGAGAGAAGACAAATCATCAGTGAGACAATCTCGGAAAAAAATGGCACTATAATTAGCTCCCAGGATAAACGACTGGATCGTTGGAAAGAGCATTATGAGGAGCAGTTTAATTGGCCCACAGCCACGCTCAACCTTCCGAGCGTCCAACACCTCCCTGAATGGGATATAGACACAGGTCCTCCATCCCTAACTGAGGTTACTAAAGCTGTCACCAATCTGAAACTAGGCAAAGCAGCGGGACCTGATGGAATGACGCCAGAGGTATTTAAGTACGGTGGAGACAGCTTACTGTCTGGATTAACTGAGGTACTAGGCAGCGTCTGGGAATCAGAAGAAGTCCCATCGGGTTGGTGTAGGTCACTGATTATCCCGATATACAAGAAGGGAGACAAGTCTTCCTGTGATAACCACAGAGGGATTAGCTTGACTAATATAGTATCTAAAGTCTTAGGCTCAATAATCATGCGTAGACTGAGTGGTGCTCGGGAGGCACAAACACGAGAGAGCCAGGCAGGCTTTAGACCAGGAAGAGGATGTATTGATCATATCTTCACCCTCCGACAGATTCTAGAACATAGGAATTCCTACCGGCGTCCAACAGTCATTATATTTCTTGACCTAAAGGCAGCATTCGACTCTGTCGATCGGGAAGTTCTCTGGAGATGCTTGGCTGTAAAGGGAATTCCGAGAAAATATATTGCACTGATTAAGGCACTCTACTCGTACTCATACAGCCAGGTGAGGGCTTACGGCGAGCTGTCATCTGAACTGGTGACGACCAGTGGTGTCCGTCAAGGATGCCCATTATCTCCTTTTCTATTCAACTTCATCATAGATGTGTTACCTTGTGCTACCTTGACGTGGTGGTCGGGCTTGAACACCGCAATGACCTAATCAAGCTATACTGGCTGAGACTTATGTCTCTTGAGGTTCTACCATGCCAGGCAGGTTGTTTGGATAGCGGTTAAACAAAAAGCAGCTACCCAATCCAACATCATGTCCAATACAAAATTACAAAATTTCATGCCGGATCGGCCGTGGCCCGGATTAACAACGACCGCGCTTCCTGCTGCCGTGTCACAGGGCGGGAGTGATAAATCTGCTACTGAGACACACCAAACAAAAAGAACAACAAAAAACAGGCCGCGTGTGACCGGCCTCAAGCAGTTGTCCCCTGGGCTCTGCGGTCACGCAACCAACTTCCACGGTGTGGGCAGCCGGGAAGTAACAATCGCCCTCACAATCCGAAATGCACACGAAACCTCTCTATTACTCACTCATCTTTGTCTTCATCTTCATCTCTATCATCTTGCCTTCCTTCCACTGATGCAACTCCTCGACTTGATAGCTCTCCACTTCCTCTCCACTCTGCGTCCACTAAAAACGATGGAAGCCAAAAAACCACCACCGACAGCCTCTTAAAGCCGCGCCACCAATTTCATATAGGAGCTCTTAATGTTAGGACACTTTGCCAAATAGGACAACAAGCATCACTAGCCAAGACCCTGGCATCACGAGCCATTGATGTATGCTGTGTTTCAGAAACACGCATACAAGACCCAAGTGTGGTTATTCACCTAACCCCACCTGGCCAACAGGTTGAATCTGCAAAATTCACCTTGAGGGTGTCAGGAGATGCCACAGCTAGTTCACGAGGATTAGCTGGCGTAGGGATAGCTTTGAGTACTAGGGCAGAAAAGACATTGCTTGACTGGATCCCGGTAGATAGCCGAATGTGTGCTGTCCGCCTGAACGGATCAGTAAGAAGGAGGAAGGACTGCACTACTCGCCGATGCCTTTTCGTAATCTCCGCCTACGCCCCCACTGACTGCAGTTCAGATGAAACGAAGGATGAGTTCTACCAAAAGCTGTCTAGTTTGGTGGAAAGGCTAAACGCTCAGACATAGTCGTTCTAGCTGGTGACTTTAACGCTCAAGTAGGGAAATTGTGTCAATCTGAGAAGGATGTCGGTGGCACCTATGGAGTTCCGTGCCAGCGAACCGACAACGGTGACCGTCTCCTACAGTTCTGCTCTGATAATCATTTGTTTCTTGTAAGCACTAACTTTAAACACAAGGAGAGACACTGTTTGACTTGGAGACCCCCTTCATCAAACCAACGCTGGACACAAATAGACCACATAGCAATAAGCTATCGTTGGCGTGGGTCGGTAGGAGATTGTCGCTCCTTCTGGAACACGTGCGTAGATACCGACCATGCACTGGTCCGCGCTCGGGTGTGCTTACGACTGAACGGACGTAGGAAACAGCTGGCGGTAAAACCATCACGTCCCCAGCTCGATCAGGAAACTAAATCCGTATTTCAGGAAGAACTAGCTAAACACATATCTGTGTTCGACAGCTGTGCTCACCCTGAAGAAGCTTGGAAAAATATCCAGGCAGCCATAGATACAGCTGTAAAAGCTGTGAATAAGGTAAACCCAAAGGTGAGTAAAAACCACTGGATCTCCACCGCCTCATCCGAACTGATAGATGCTAGAAGACTTATTCCGGCGAGCTCCGAATTCAATGAGGAGCGAAAGCTGCACAAGAGGAAACTTACGAAAAGTCTCCGCAAGGACCGTGAACAGTGGTGGGCGACAAAAGCCAAAGAGATGGAGAAAGCTTTGAGGATAGGCAACACCAGGCAACTCTTTGGACTCATCAGGGAAACGGGTGGGAGAAGACAAATCATCAGTGAGACAATCTCGGAAAAAAATGGCACTATAATTAGCTCCCAGGATAGACGACTGGATCGTTGGAAAGAGCATTATGAGGAGCAGTTTAATTTGCCCACAGCCACGCTCAACCTTCCGAGCATCCAACACCTCCCTGAATGGGATATAGACACAGGTCCTCCGTCACTAACTGAGGTTACTAAAGCTGTCACCAATCTGAAACTAGGCAAAGCAGCGGGACCTGATGGAATGACTCCAGAGGTATTTAAGTACGGTGGAGACAGCTTACTGTCCGGATTAACTGAGGTACTAGGCAGCGTCTGGGAATCAGAAGAAGTCCCATCGGGTTGGTGTAAGTCACTGATTATCCCCATATACAAGAAGGGAGACAAGTCTTCCTGTGATAATCACAGAGGGATTAGCTTGACTAATATAGTATCTAAAGTCTTAGGCTCAATAATCATGCGTAGACTGAGTGGTGCTCGGGAAGCACAAACACGAGAGAGCCAGGCAGGCTTTAGACCAGGAAGAGGGTGTATTGATCATATCTTCACCCTCCGACAGATTCTAGAACATAGGAATTCCTACCGGCGTCCAACAGTCATTATATTTCTTGACCTAAAGGCAGCATTCGACTCTGTCGATCGGGAAGTTCTCTGGAGATGCTTGGCTGTAAAGGGAATTCCGAGAAAATATATTGCACTGATTAAGGCACTCTACTCGTACTCATACAGCCAGGTGAGGGCTTACGGCGAGCTGTCATCTGAACTGATGACGACCAGTGGTGTCCGTCAAGGATGCCCATTATCTCCTTTTCTATTCAACTTCATCATAGATGTGTTAATGGACTTAACCCTAGGTGACTTCAGCGATTCAGGGATTGACTTGCTACCTGGGAATAATCTCGTTGACTTGGAATATGCAGACGATATAGTCCTTCTAGGCGAAGACGCTGACGAAATGCAGAGTCTTCTAAACACCTTGAGCAGCAATCTACGAATGTTTGGCATGCGATTCGCTCCCGCCAAATGCAAGATGATGTTACAGGACTGGACTACATCGACGCCTAGTTTAAAAATAGGAAGTGAAGTGGTAGAGCACGTTGACCGCTTCACTTATTTGGGAAGTACCATCAGCCCCAACGGGCTGATCTCTGACGAAATCTCAGCACGAATACAAGGGGCTCGTTTCGCATTTGTTAGTTTACGCCGACTCTGGCGTAGACGAGATGTTCGACTATCGACCAAAGGGCGGGTGTACTGCTCATCAGTCCGCTCCGTCCTCCTTTATGGTTGTGAGACCTGGCCACTGAGAGTGGAAGACATGAAAAGACTAGCTGTCTTTGATCATAGGTGCCTGCGTTCTATTTCCCGTGTAAAGTGGCATAATAAGGTGAGCAACATGGAGGTTAGGCGTAGAGTTCTAGGTAAACAGGGGAAATCAATCGACGAAGTCGTGAAGCTACAAAGACTGAGATGGTTAGGACATGTGTTACGTATGCCAAGCCATCGCCTCCCTCGACGAGCAATGTTAGCGGATATAGGGTCAGGCTGGAAAAAAGCTAGCGGCGGTCAAACAAAAACTTGGCATCAGTCAATGAAATCCACAACAGTTGGTCTAAGCCACGTAGGAAGGTGTAGACTTCCAGGCTGGGGTCCTCGGGACGGTAAAAATCTATGGTTGGAAACAATTGGTGACATGGCTCAAAATCGTTCTCAGTGGCGCAGATGCATCCACTCCTTGTGACTTATGATCTTCAATGAAACTGTTTTGTTTTTCTTTATTACTCCTTTGTCTCACACCTCTGCTCACTGTTTCTATTATGCTTTTCTTGTACTTTCTTCTCTTGCTTCGCGTGCTACACGGAATGTGGCGACTTGAACTTCCGCACATTTGTGCAAAGTTCTATGTCGAAAACAGACAGACAGACAGTAATTCCGACTTACTAAGTACTGTTTTAAGTCAGAGTAACGTCAGGAGTTAGGAAGCCCTGACAACATTACGTCATTGGCTAGTTGAGTTATAAATTTCGTACTGACTCACAGATACCATTCTTTTTTATTCTCATGTATCATGTGTATTCTGGAAATGAAGCTGGTACACTCACTGCCCCCTGAATGGGATATAAACACATGTCCTCCGTCCCTATCTGAGGTTACAAAAGCTGTCACTAGTCTAAAACGAGGTAAAGCAGCACGACCTGATGGAATGACCCCAGACGTAATCAAGGACGGTGGAGGCAGTTTACTGCCTGAGTTAGCTAAGGTATTAGACAGCGTCTGGGAATCACTGATAGTCCTGTCGGGTTGATGTAAGTCATTGATTATCCCGATATGAAAGAAGGGAGACAAGTCTTCCTGTGATAATCACATGGGGATAAGCTTGACCAATATGGTTTCTTAAGTTCTAGGCTCAATACTCATGCGTAGACTAAGTGGTGCTCGGGAGGAACAAACACAAGAAAACCAGGCTGGCTCTATATTAGGAAAAGGGTATATTGATCATACCTACCGGCGTCCGATAATCGTTACTTTTCGTGACCTTTAGACGGCATTAGATTCCGTCTACCGAAAGGTACTATGCCGGTGTTTGGTTGTAAAGGGGATGCTGAGGAGATACATCGCACTCATCAGGGCACTCTACTCGAGCTCATACAACCAGGTGAGTGCTTATGGAGTTTGTTATCTGAAGTGATCACAACCAGTGGTGATCGTCAGGGATACCCAGTGTCCCCATTTCTGTTTAATTCCATCATTGATGTACTAGTGAACTTAACGCTGACTTCATGGAATCAGGAATTGACTTGTCACCACCAGGGAATAATCTCTTTGACTTAGAATGAGCAGATGATATAGTCCTGCATCTTAGGTGAAGACACTCACAAAATACAGAGTCTTCTTAACACAGTGAACAGCAGTCTTCGGATGTTTGACATACGATTTGCACCCTCCTGTCAAATGTAAAATGATGCTAAAGGACTTGACAACCTCTACTCACTCGTAGATTAAAGATAGGCAGGAGTGAAGTGGTTGATGAATTGCGTTGACCACTTCACTTATTTAAGAAATTGCATCAACCAGCACCAGTAGGTTGATCGCTGACAAGAACTCAACACAGATACACAAGACTCGTTTGGCATATACCAACTTATGCCATCTCTGGCTTAATGGACGTGATATCCGGCTGGTTTTCGACCAAAGGGCGTGTTTACTGCTCAGCAGTTCTCCTTTATGGTTGGCTGTGAGACGTGAGTGACCATTGAGGGTGGAAGACATGAAAAGGCTATTTGTCTTCGATCGCAGGTTGTCTGCGGCCTATCTCCCGTGCTAAGTGGTATAATAAGGTGAGCTATTTTGAGGTTGGGTATGGAGGCGAAATCAATCGACGAGGTTGTGAAGTTACATCAACTGATGGTAAAAACCAGTGGCTGGAGACAATTGGCGATATGCCTCAAAATCGTTCTTAATGGCGCATCCAATCCTTGTGATTTATAATATCCAATAAAATTTTATTGTTCTTCCATGCTACTATATCTTAACCTCATTCGAACTTCTGTTTATTATCTCTGTCTCTTGAATCTCTTCTCTTGCTTTGCGTGCTGCATGGAGGGAGAGTGGCAACTCGGACTGGTGCACATTTGTGCAAAGTTCTGCGTTGAAACTAGTCAGTTGATCACTCAGTTGTTGATTATTAACGTACAACACAGCTCAGCTGTTCTCCTTTTAAGGCAACCGTGGTAGATTTCTGTACTGCCGCATGGAGATTACTGCAGCAAACTCCTTGTTGAAGCAGGTGGGGTTATTGATGTTCGATTGGTTACAATTAGAATATAATCCTATATTAAATTGTGACATTGTCTGAAACCATTCATCTACTGTTTGATGACTTAATTTGCGTATACATCATTCACAGACGTAGGGGGAATACGTTTGGTAAATGATATATATATATATATTATATATGGTGGTCTCTCTTTCTGTTGCTCTCTTAGTCTGTGACCATTTCACTTTGATGAACCTGTCTCCTTTAACAATGTATATTCCCCTTATATTATATATAATATGTGTGTTTGTTGATAGTCTCTTCTTGGTGAGATGTATCCATATAAATTGTGTGTTGTTGACATGTCTGCTATATTTTGCTATATATATATATATATATATATATATATATATGGATCGATACTCCATTATAATTAGCCAATCATGTTAAGACTGTCTATTGATTTGTTCGCTCACTTGTTTGGACATTCATATATATTTTTGCTCTCACACTCTTGTGTGATTTGATTCTCCTTGTGTTTGGAAAATAGAAGTATCATCGTAAACCTAGTGGTCTTCTGATTTCCGTCTTTCTTGCGTCAGGACTATTAAATTCTCGACCAGTACATAACAATAATTTGGCGACGAGTACATAACAGTAAATAGTTATCCTAGTAGATCTTGTAATCGTCTAGGTTTTGAACCAATTCATACTTATTAAATGCCTTCTTATTACTTTAATGAGATTTTGATATACTATAGGAAAATAAAAGAATTTTTTAAAACATTTAAAATTTATTTCTGTTAATAATCATGTTTATTTTTATTTGATAGTAAATTCATTCCTGTGGCAATCAAATTCTTGTATGGTGTTCCAGTGATTGGTTGGATATTATGGCTTCCGGGTATTAATGGTGTAAGTGTATTAATGCGCATGTTATCATGTGTTATCAAACCTTTTCCTACTATGTGTAAAGTAGATTCTAACACAAAGCTTTATATAGCTCCTTTGCATCCAGACACTTCCACCTGGTTCCTATATGATTGCATGTAAACGGCTGAACTTTTGCAGTGTAGCGGTGGTTTCATCTGTTTTGATCTCTTCTCAGGTATCAACCGAGTTGTCTGTAATAGTAATGTGAGGTCCCTCTTGTTCACAACCTGTTTTGCGTCAGTTTCTAATGTGTCGTAGAATTGTCGTAAAATATGTCTTATATTCACTTCCCTATTCAGTGCGTCGTGCATTGAACTCAGCTTTCATTTTCTCTGCCCGTCTTTGTAGTAGTACACCTTCTGTTCCACCACCCTTTTCTCATCTATTAGCTCCCGGGTGTCCGCAGTAAGCCATTCCTAGTTTTACCTATAATTTCTTCTTACTTTGTTTATACTTTTTTCTTTCACCATCATTTTCAGAGAGTTTCGGTATTCGTCTATACACGTCTCAGTGATGCTACACAGTGTCTGTAACTTTTCTCTGATGACTGCACTGAACATGTACTTCGCAGATTTGTCCCCCACGGTTTTTAGGTGTTGAACTTGGATTGTAATCTGTCTCCAATTTCTTTGAAGGCTTTTAACTTGACCTTGCATGTTCCTTGCACAAGACAGTGGTCTGAACCAACATCTGACCCGCTTTCCGATTTTCGGCATGTCCTTTACGTAAAGCTCGTTTTACCTTGTGTATATCCTTGTGGTGCGTCGGTGGCACAGCGGTTAGGACGCTCGCCTACCATGCACATGGTCCGGGCGCGCTCCTTTACCCCGATAAGGCAGAAATAATGCTGGTAAAGAGGAAAGGTTGGGTATGGGGCTAGCAACCCCATCCTGTAAAAATAAGACACTGCTACAGAAACTTCACGCCACTAGCTTGAAGCCCCATGTTCCACTGGGAACGTGAAGGAAAAAAATATCCTTGTACTTGCATACACTGCCTCCAAACACCAAATCATTGCAGTCAAAGAAATCTGAGAAGAACACTGTGTTATCATTCATTTTGCTGAGAGCTTTCAGACCGGAAGTGAGTTCTCTTCCTGTGTTGTCTGTTCATAGTTTGACATTCATATCACTTATTAGAACTTTAATGTCATCATTTAAGGGTTTTGTCCATTACTCTTTGTGGATATCCGTAGAATTCTTACTTCTTTTTCTTGGAAAGCGCTATTTATAGGAGCGTAGAGAATTGAGTAACTGTAATTTTCTTGCCATCTGAATTGATTTTTTTTTATCATTATCCTGGATGTGATTAGTTCCCACTGCATAAGAGCCTCAGGTGTTGTCGGCGACATCATGATACACGCTCCCAGTTTTGTCGTGGTTGTCGTCTGGATGACCGGTGTAGATTATCGACTTTCCATTTAACGATTTGGAGAGTCCCCGTTTCAATTCCATCTGTTCTCACGTAATCTAAGCACTTATATACCAGATCTTCTGATTTCTTTTGCACTTAGAGTAACCTTTCCAAGTAACTTTGAAAGTTGTGCGAACATTTCATGTCGCCATGCTGTCTTTTTACTTTCATTGAAAGAAGATACTTTGGCCTGACTGGCTTATCGAAAGCTTTAGCGAGCCCATTTATTACACTTCTCTGATTCCAACAAAGAATAAGTCTTTTATATTATATTTTTTTCTGTGCTGTGAAATTTTCGTGGCTGATTGAACTGATTTCCCGGAGTAGGTGTGGCAGCTCCAAGCTAGGCCTTCCATCTTTCTTCAGGTTTAGGATTGATGAGGTTGCAGTCTGCTTGTCTCTATGACTTTCTAATTCTCGAAATAATAAAAACTGTCATTGCTTCAAAGAAATACTGGCTTTCATTACATCAGTCACAAAAATTAGTTGGTGTTTCGAAAACAAGCTTTATATCATTTTGAAACACACACACACTGAGCTTTGAGTTTATTCAGATGCTCCTTGGAGTTCCTTCTCACTGAGTGTTTTTAAAGTCATATACAGTTTTGACTTAAGGAAAAAACACAAGGTGATTTCCATTATTTGTCATCTTAAAAATCAGTGAGAGACGTAATAAACAAGAAAATTATACACGATGTAATGATCAATATGTTGCTTCAGATTAACAATACCATTAGTGAACCATGCTCAATGTTAGTCTTTCTCTGAATTCCTTCGTGTATTTTTTTTCTTCACGTTCCCCAGTGGAAAATAGGGCTTCAAGCTACAGTGACTTAAAGTTTCTTTAGTAGTGGTGTTTATTTTTACAGGATGGGATTGCTAGCCAGCCTCACGCCCAACCTTTCCTCTTTACCAGAATTATTTCTGGCTTAGCGAGTTAAAGGAGTGTGTAAGTGGCCGAGGATCGAACCCCTGACCATGTGCATGGTAGGCGAGCGTCCTAACCACTATGCCACCGACGCACCCTTCGTGTACACTCCTCCAAAACAGATTTCCTAGATGAATTGTAGTGCTCGCAGTGTATAAATTTGGCGGAAAATCTAATTCCCCCATGCTGATTATTATCAGCATTTAGTGAAGGTATTCACACTAGACACTTTACAAGTTTAACACCTAGAAATTTTCTTCCCGACCAGAATATTGTGCAACTTTAATTCTTTCAAACAAGTACTGTATTGTACGAAACAGGATTAAATTTCTCACGTGTATATAAGGGTTGAAATTTAACTCAGTTGTTCAGTCAATTAACTACAATGATTGAAGCATGAAGGCCTTAAAGTCAGTCCAATATAATTTCTAAGCTACAGATAGGCTTTTGAGTGATTTTCGTCTGGTATCAAGCCTATTAGTTTCATTTTTCTGAATGCTGTACTACATTTCACTAGATTAAACATTCATATAATTAGTCAGTAATAAATTCAAGTGTATCTATCACATTACGAAAGCAAACATCCGTCTTCTGAAGGCATTCTAGTACTCATGTGTCCGCCAAGTATTATTCAGAGAAATTTTATATGCATATTATAGATCTTTGACTCATGAACTTTTGAGACTGTTGTCAAACACAACACTCTACAAGTTAAACACTCTTCTCTAGGCCAGTATCTTTAGTCCCCTCAGAAGAATTTGTGTACAAAAATGATTTTAAACTCAGCTCTCTAGTGTTTCAAACGTTCGATACGTATTATGTGAGTGCTGGTGGTATTGTTATTTTGGTAAACAGGAGTATTTTGTAACGGAATTATTTATTGCCGACTCAATACACATCTACCATATATTGGAATCGCAATTTGCACATACACTCTGTATTCCATATTGGTTTGTTTATAAGATGTATCACACAGTGATGAAACAGTATTGTTTACTGGATGACAACGTTTCGAACAAAATTTATTGTTCATAATCATATCACCAATTATAATCACACGACTTCGACACTTGAGTTTATTGGTTTTCTTTGTCTTCTATTTGTCGTCGTAGACGTAGTAGAATTTTCCAGATATCCGACTGGACAGGTGTTGAATACTTACTTACTTTACTTTACTTCGGCTATCTCCTACGGCAGGATGAGCCGGCTTCATGAACGTCTCGAATCATCGCTGCCCAGACGCGGCGATCTGATGCAAGGTTTTGCGACAGGGTTATCCAACTCTTGTTCCACAGACGGAGTCCGTAGACGGTTTGTAGCCCCAGGCACTCCATATCAGCCTTGACTGTACCAAGCCATGTCTTCAGCTGTCCACCCCTGCGACATCGCCAAGATGGAAATGGCGAGGGATTTAGAACTGATTTGACCAGATCGTCATCTGGTCGGCGCAGAACATGGCCAAACCACCGAAGGCGATGTTGTTGGACCACTACTGGAATTTGGTTGATGTTGTAGCAACGACGACGCACTTCTTCGTTGGAGAGTTTGTCCTGCCAACGAACATGCAGAATGTATCTGAGGCACCAATGGTCTACTACCTCGAGTCTGCGTAAATCTTCCGCACGAAGAGGCCAGGTTTCACAGCCATACAGGAGAACGGGTCGTATGGAGGCTTGGTAGACCCGAATTTTAGTCCTGAGACTGATTTCTCTCTTGCTCCATAGAACGCTCCTCAGCTGTAGAAACGCATTCCGTGCGTTGGAGATTCGCGCATTCACTTCGTTTTTCGCTTGGCCGTTGGGGAGCATTATGGATCCCAAATATCTGAAGGATGGCACAATTTCAATAGGTGCTCCATTCAGGGATAAGATTTCATCATTGCCGGTGGATGTGTTCGAAAACATTTTGGTTTTGGAAGTGTTAATTTCCAAACCGATAGTAGACGCGAGGTGGTTTATCTGATCGAGCGCCTGTTGCATATCGGGGAAGTTTTCAGCTAATAACACGACGTCGTCGGCGAATTCGAGGTCGGTTATGTGAATATCGGGCGAAAGTTGGACGCCGTGGTGCTCGGTTAGGGCGTGCCGCAAAATCCAATCAATTGTGAAATTGAACAGGATGGGGGATGCTGGACAACCTTGCCGGACACCGCTGGTTACCTCAAAAGTGCGAGACTCTTCACCGTTCACTCGGACTCGAGCTTTGGTGTTGGAGTAGTATGACCTGAGCAGGTTGATTAGCTTGGTCGGAACTCCGTCGAGCTCCATTAGATACCAGAGTGCTCCTCGATCAACTGAGTCGAATGCCGCTCGGAAGTCGATGAAGCAAGCAACCGTCGGCTGTTGGAATTTGTCCCTGTGTTCCAAAATTCTTCGCAGTGTGAATAATTGATCAACACAGCCTCTTCCAGGTCGAAATCCGGCTTGATTTGGCCTTGTTCGCACGTGGCGTTCGGCCGCAAAGCGGTTCAGGAGAATGGAAACAAAAACCTTAGCAGCGATATCAATCAGACTTATGCCTCGGTAGTTCTCGCATAGTGACCTGTCTCCCTTTTTGTGGAACGGTAGCAGAACTGAGGTGCTCCAATCGGAAGGAATGGTTTCGGACTCCCAAATTGAGCAGAACAGCGAGTGCAGCGAAT